GTCTCTTGGCGTCACAACAAACTATCCGATTTTCTCGAGCCCATCCTCAGGGAGTCTTGATGAAACCGATTCAAGGCCAGACAAATGATCTCGTCTGTGGAGAGTGCAAGAGCGATTGAAGATGAGGCAGTTACCTGGTTCTTACTATACGTAACTAGGGTGCTGTAGTAGTCGTAGAGATAGACCAGGCGAGTCTCCTCCGAGGCGAAATTGTAGCCAGACGGCCGATTGCGACCGGGCTCGAGCAGGTTGGCGGCTAGCGCCTGCGGTGACAACGCATTCTGGCTGAACCTGCGTTCCCCAGGCCGCCAAGTCGGCTCGCCTGAAGCAAACGAGATGTCCGGTTGCCGGGACCACTCAACTTCATCGTCAGGGGCTATGCCTTCCAGAGGCGTCTTAGAGACGTTGGTAATGGGCACAAGTGGTGTGTAGTACACACGAATCTGGAGGCAGGGGAAGCTTGAACGATCCTTTGAGCATTTGTTTTCACAGCGCAATATATCCTTGTGGAAGGAGCCATTGATCCTACAAACGCCCGGCTCAAACACTGATTCAGACAAGTAGGGCGTCACGACCAGATGAAGCAAGATGCACTCTACAATGAAGCTGGCCGAAATCAAAGTTGCGCAGGAAAGGTAGATAAATTTAATGCACGAATCTGAAAACAATCTTGCCCGAAACTTGTCTGCCAACTGTTGCGGCTGGTCCCGCTTACTCATACTATTGATTCAACTTCACCTCCGTTGCGTGAACCGGGGCAAAAGTAGTATATGACCAAGTAGTGCCCGAATATTCTCAAGCTCAACCAATGGCCTTACGCCTGCTCTCTACTCTCTGATTGGTCCTGGGCAAAGGCCGTCTCTGATTGGTCCTGAACAATGGCCTGTCGTGATTGGTCCAGGCTGAATAGACAGTGGGCTATGAAAGGTGAAAATATAGATTAGGAAGGATAAAGACAAGGAGATAATAAGTAAAGCTCGTCTCAACTGCATCGATTTCGCGGTGAGTTGGTCTAACTTTAGGCGGGCACGTTCACTTGTGCAGAGTGAAAGAGAGCGAGGTCACCTAAGCTACTCAAGCAGGCAACTTGGCCAAAGCTCATGCAACCAATCAGAGTGCAAGGCTATTCTTGAGCCCAGGCAGAACTGCATTGAAGCTCAGAGGTAAAGAGGTAAAGAGATGTATATTAATTGAAATATTTAAAATTTTCTTTCCCTGTTTCGCAATTAAGCGGTTAATTGCAAAGTATATGTGACTTTAATTGTTAGAATGGGGAAATTTTGAAAGTTTGCCAGCATAATTGATTAATCAAATACAGGATGTGAATTACGCATAGCCTAAGACATAAAAAAGTAAATTGCTATTCAACGACTGGTAGTAGAATATTCCCACAATGACGTGAGTAGAGCTGACGTTTACATAAAAACTTGCAAAGCCTTGCTTTCCCAAACGTCCTCATCGCGACTGCAGTCTCGACCTCGCATCGGTCTTATCAACACCCCCAGCGGGACTCGAACCATGACAGTGCAGAATGGGAGACCAGAACTTTTTACCACATCACATTATTCGGTAGGATTGTCGTGACGCAAACGCATTTTTGCCGTACCAATCGACTAATTTCCTTATTGTTCGCATGCAAGTAGAGTTTCGAGACTACCCGTAAATCAATAAAATGAGATGTATGTGGCCGAGTTGTTACCGTATCAAGTCTACATTCTGCACCGTCGCGATTCGACTCCCGCTTGAGGTGTGGATAAGACATATGTGAGGTGGAAACCGCCGTTAATCCTGTATGAGAACAACTTTTGAGAAGGTGAGGATATGTGAAATTCAATGAAAAAGTCAGCTTTACTCATATCATTGTGGGAAAATTCGTCTACCAGTGCTTCATCACCTTAAACGAAATTGGGTGAATACGTCTGATAGATCTACTGTCAGCCAACTAGCTCCAGTCTCCGACGCGTCTATCCTGTTTCTATTTCTAATACCAAGTCTATGATTTACTATGCTCTACTCTCTTGTGTGCCAACCCACAAATGTTATGGTTCAACATTGAACCCAATTAGTCACGGGGAAAGAGAGAGACTGTGATAAGAGCTAGAGAAGGAGGACTGTGCAACAATATGGCAGATCTGATCAACATTCCCATGGCAAAGGTGAAGTGAGAACGGCAGCGTGGAGTGTGAAGGGTGTTCGTGAATGCCGCTCAAATTGAGCACACCACACTACATCGAAATGAGCACATTAAAAATTGTAACAGTGAAGATGTGGTAGGAGGATATAGGAAATGTGAATAGGCCAGGGCAGAAGGGGAGATACCACAACTGTTTAGCACACGTTTGGTTAAAGGATGGGCTTCACTTGTCTCGTTGTGGAGTGCTGAGAATGGTGATGCTCACCGACGCTGCCGACTACGATACCGGCGAAACGTCTGGGAATTAACCACGTCCACGGTCCGATTCTGGAAATTTGGTACATTCTCAGACGTTTCGCCGGCTTCGTAGTCGGCGGCATCAGTGGAGAATGGCAAAACTGACTGATGATGCTGGTGAAACGTTTGAGAATGTATCAAGTCCACTGTCTGCTGCTGGGAGTCATGACAACTACTATGT